CCGGGGAGCAGGGGAACCGGTGCGGGACTGCCGGGGAGCAGGGGAACCGGTGTGGGGCTGCCGGGGTGCTGGGGAACCGGTGCGGGACTGCCGGGAGGCAGGGGAACCGGTGCAGGACTGCCGGGGTGCTGGTAAAGGGGTAGTAGCCATGCAGCAGGCTGGCGACAATGTGAACCCTGAGAACCCTCACAAAGCAGCAGAAGCATGTTGTTTTTAGGAGAACTCAGGAAACAGCCCAAGAAACACCCACAGGCTTGGATGTGGCAGGCTCTGGGGCACAGAGCGTGGACTTTCCACTCCAGATGTGGATAACTGATGGTACGTGGATAACTGATAAATGCCTTGAGATCAGACGGAGCCTCACCAGACAGCTGGAGAAATGAGTGTGGTGGCGCAACCAGGTTTCACTGGATGCGGACAGGGAGGGGAACGCAGGTCTCCAGAGATGCAGCAAACCCTTGGCTCAGCGCTAGAACAAAGGCCTCTGCGAGCGTGCTGACCCCACCCCCAGTTCTGCAGCAGGACCACGCAGGCAGGCCCTGCTGGGAGAGCCTGGACAGTGTGCCATGTCCAGCCCAGGCTCCTGACTGCACAGACAACTTGCTTGTACTGTGTAAGTGATGTACAGGTCACATCTGCAGTAACGACTCATTCTAACTCAGCTTCCAAAGAGCAGACTGCCCGCCCAACACTGGAGGAAGGTCAGGAAAGTCAGTGCTGTCCAGGATGAAAGCATCACAGCAGGAGGCAAGTGAGGGCATCGGGCCTGTGTCCAGCCCTGCTGGAAGCACACCTGCTGGATGCATGTGGAGTTCACCTGCATGCGTCAGGGGCAAGCACACGGAGGCTGTGAGGGGAGGGGCCCTTGCCTGAGGTCACAGAGTATATCGCAGAGCCTCCTTCATGCCCCCGGGGCCTCCCCACCATCTGTTTGTGTCCCCATGACACCCAGCTGCAAGCGGGCACAGCCCAGAGAACTGAGGCTCCTGAGCCAAGCTCCTATGCCGCACGAAAAATGTACTTCCTTAAACTGGGCGCGAGACTACATGGCACGACCCGTTCCAAAACCCAGAGAGAACAATGGTGGGGGAGGTCACGCCACTCCCCCAGTGATGCACTGTCCTCCTCAGTGTGGGGCCCAATTGGGCCAGACGACTGTGCGTCGTCGGTCAGCAGTTGCCAGTCTATTCATCTCTGCTGCTAAGTGCCTGCAAGAGCCCGCATGCTTCCAGGGTGGGTCCCGTTCCCAAGTGCAGGGGGCTCTGGGGGCCCTGCCCTCCACAGTCGCTACTTGCTGTCTCTGAAGTGACCTGTGCCTCAGTGTCCTCCCCTGTGAGCTGGTACAGTGGTGGCACCACCTCACAGGTCATAGGGAAGGGGACAGGGGATGATGCACGTGCCCCAAATATGGCACCCATCACAGCAACAAGTCCATTCCAGGCACGTCAGGGTCAGGATGGGTTCTCAGAATCGGGGACCCGACTTGGGGCCCCCATCAGAGAGTCCCAGTGCCCCTCTCCCCACGCAGCCTCCGCCACCACGAAGGCCAGTCTCTACCAGGTGCTCGGTGCGGGCCTCACTGCTCCCGAGATGTGAGGTGGTGCCTCCCCTTGCACCTTCCTCTGGGGCCTGACAAGTGTCAGGGGAGAGTGCTGAGTTGGAACTGCCCCCCGACCTGGCTCCCAGCAGCTGGTGGAGGGACAGCTCCAGATGTGAGCCACACCCTAGTGGCAGCAAGACCCTGCTCTGTAAGGTGCAGAGGGCTGCAAGGAGTGGGCTCTCACACTGATAGGCAACCACGACCACGGAGGCCCTCCTGCCTCACCTGTGCACAAGCTGGAGGTTCTCCTGCCTCAGCCGGCTGTGCTGCTCCCCATTGGCGGCAGTGTCCTTCTCCAGCTCCGACACCCGCTTCTCCAGGAAGACAACCTAGGGAGTGACACAATGGCTTCAGAATCAGGAGGCAAGACAGCCTGCATTCCCAGCCAACTGTTTTGGTGGCAGTGTCCACTAGGCTAGAGTTGGATCCATCTCTTTCATGGAGGAGGTGAGCATGGGGGGGACAGGGGGAGGTGAGCATGGGGGGGGGACGGAGGAAGCAAGGGGGGACACGGGAGGAGGTGAGCATGGGGGGGACGGGAGGAGGTGAGCATGGGGGGACAGGAGGAGGTGAGCATGGGGGGACAGGAGGAGGTGGGCATGGGGACACGGGAGGAGGTGAGCATGGGGACACAGGAGGAGGTGAGCATGGGGACACGGGAGGAGGTGAGCATGGGGGGGGACAGGAGGAGGTAAGGGTGTGCTGCCACCCCTTCTCTTCACCTCTTGCTGAGCTGTCCCTCGAGAAGTCTGGGGTCGCTTCCACAGCGAGGCTGCCCGGTCCCAAGGAACCCACCCCACAGGGCCTCTCTGGGAACTCTGATTCCACACGTGGTCTGGCTCTGTGATCACCACCCTGAAAACTTGAGCGGCCGAAGGTCCTGCCTCCAGGGTCCAGGTGACGGGAGTCTCTGAGCATCAGTGCACCTGGGTGGGCCCACATCTGACCTCTCCGTTCCTGCTCCGCGCATCCCATGGCCACTGGGCCTCTAGGAAACTTGCTGGACAATGTCAGGACTGGTGGAGGATCTAATTAGCCTCTGATGGCACCACTACCACCCCTCACCCAACCCCTCACGCCATGTGGCCTGCACCATGATGCCGCAGCACCCACAAGCGCCCTAAGACCTGGCTGTGTTATCAGTAGGGGGCCCTCCCTCCGGCCCTGCACCCCGAGGCCGACCTTGTCAGCAATGTCCTCTTCCATGCCCTCCATGGGGTCTGGGGCAGGGTCCTGCAGGGCATCCATGGCCAAGGCCCCTGACTGGTGCAGGTGCCTGTGGACAAGAAACAAGAGGCCAGTCCAGAGAAGGCCCTTCAGCAGAGCAGAGACAGGAAGGACGACAAGTTCTGTAAACATGAGGGTTCCCAGGTCAATCTGAGAACCGGAACCCAGCAGCACGGACCCAGGCCTCCACCAAAGGAGTCCTGGCAGGACGCTGTTACCCAAGGGCTGGAGAGAATCCCCGCTGCTCTTTGGAACCTGACCTCCCGGCCTCCTTCCCTGGCAGCTCACAGGTGAAGGTACTTTGTCCTGGGTAATAAAACATGACTTCATTCCTCTCTGTGATAGGAAATAATCTCGTCTTCTGCCACGGCCCATGAAACATTACTTCAGGATCCTGACTTCCATATGCAGCGTCACCCACATGCACTCTTGCTACTTGATTTTCAAACCTACTTGTTGTGGCAATAACAGTGAGAGACCGGGGTCTCACCCAGAGTTTCTCCTGGGGTCGAGCTTGGGAACCGTCCTCTGCTGCAACAGCTCCAAGGGCCCAGCACCAGGGGCCAGAGGGCCCCTGCCCCCTTGGGCCACACCGGGTGCTGTGCGGCCCAGGAATCCTGTGGACCTGTGGAAACCCCTGCCTTCACTCCTCAGCCACTGGCCCCCTCGCAGGTGCTCAGCAAATACGTTTGCAGTCCCCCCAGAGACAGTCTTGCTGGCTATGGGGACACTGTATCAGCTCTAATTTCCTTCCTCTTAAAATCCTCAGATCATTTAACCAGAGTGCCAGTAGCATGTCTACCTGCGCCGACCTAGGCTCCCAACGCAGCAGCCTGAGGCTCAGAGCTGTGTGGCCTTGAGGTAGACAATCGTCCTCCCTGAGCCTTACTCTCCCATGACAGACAAGGTGTAAATGAGATTTTATATATAAACAGCTCCTGTTAAGGATATAACACAGAATAAGAATTCAATAAAATGCTATTAAAAATTGTATCGCAGATCTCTACGTTATTAAATGTATGAAGTTCTATTTTCTTTTTAGTATTGACTGAGCTTGTGCATTTCTTAAATTTTTTCCAGAAATGTTCTAAGGGGAACAAAAAAGAAGGGCACCTTTACCCCTGGGGATCACAAGTTCCTGGATGTGTCCTGGGTGAGACACTGAAGCCAAAGGGTCATCCTGTTTTTGTCCAGTTGTTGCTTTTAAATGCCCATGACTTTGGCCCCAACAAGAGCTCCTCATGTCACTCCTGGGGCAGGAAACTGCCCACCCCAGACCCAGAGACCACCCTGCAGAGAAGCCACAGTCCAAGACCTGTCACCCCCTCCTGAGCTCCTACCAGGAGCTCACAGCGCTTCCCAAGGGCTGAACATGGGACAGGAAGGTGACAGCTGGCATGTGGCCACTTTAGGCACATGCTGAAGGGGAGGGCCTTGTTTACGTCAACCCACCCCCACTTGGGAGACCCAGCAGGAGAGGGGGCTGTGGGAGATGTCTGATACACCCCCAGAGCGCCTTCTGCCCTGTGGACGCCCTTGGCCCTGTGGCGGTCCCGCTGGTGCCCCCTTCCCCCTGCATCCTGAGGTCAGCCCTGTGCTGGCGCCTCCAGGTCCTTGCACGCACGCTGACCCCACAGCCACTTCCACGTGGGGTAAGCACACAGCCGGGTCACAGAGGCCAGAGCTGGTGGGTCCAAACCCCACGATCCGGCTACAGTGCCGCATGCAAAGGCCTGAGACACCGTGAAGAGTGAAAGTACTAGTTATTTTCAGTTTCCTTAGAATTCTAGTGCTGGTTTTAAGTGCAAAATGGCAGCAGATTACAACTGTGTGCGTGTGAGTGTGTGCATGAGTGCATGTGCGTACAGACTGCAGAATACGCTCCATGTGTGAACCACAACTATAAATACCTACAGACTGGGCTTTTTCATACCAAAGCCTATCTGCAAAGGGATCACATTCTCAGGGGGTGTTTCAAAGAAGCGGGCAGACTGAGCAGACAGCTGAGGCACAGCACGGGCCAGGGACCCCAGGGCCCGTCCACATTCTGGACGTGGGAGGCTGGGCGGAGACTTTTACCTTCCCTCGTTGCAGCCCCTGTAGCGTCTCTGGGGCGGAACATGGGTGTGGGGAGGAGGAAAGCAATGCTAACTTGTAATCACTGTGTGGTTTGGAACAAACATTCTGTTCCTTGGAGTCTGGATGCTCCTCTACAAGGGGGATGGTGAGAACAAGTGCAGAGGAGGGTTGATGACCTTCACCTCTGCTTCTGCTGGGTCCTAAGCCCCTAAGATTACAGAAAAAGAAAAACAGGAGGTTCACAGGCCACAGAGAGAAGAGGTATAGGAAAGGGGCAGGAGGGCTGCAGCCGACCAGGGAGGCCCAGCACCTGAGACTGCACCCTTACAGAGGCAGAGCCAGACACCTGGGCCCACAGGCGGCAAACACACAGCCCAGCACAGATCCTGAAGCCTGACAGCCAGGCATGGGTTCCTCTGGGACGGCAGCTGCCACGGAGCCTGTCTGCACGCACGCCAGCCAGCGGCCGCCCGGCAGCTGTGAGCAACCACTGCACGGTGGACAGAAGCACCAGCACCGGCTGGGAGGGAAACTCTTTCAAGAAAGACGAGGACAAGAGATAGTGAGGAAGAGCCTGTGGCCCGTCACAGGAGGGGCCAGAGCAGAGGGCCTCAGGGGCAACAAGGAGGAGGCAGTCAGGGCCACAACCAGGAGTTTCAGAAGGAGGATGGGGGCGGACAATGCTGTCAAACAGCTTGAGAAATGTCCCCAGGACTAAGGGGTGGGAACTCCCACATCAAACAGTCCATCTGTCTTTCTGCCCAGCATAATTAATGGGGAGAAGGACTCCCAAGACTCATCGTAAAGTTTCTGAACTTCAGGGATAGAGAAAACAGCTGAAAAGCTTCCAGAGAAAAGGTCGCAAAGAAAACCAGAAAGCCTCAGGGCTCTAGCAGCAGCCCTAGTGCTGGAAGGTACTGAGTGGTGCCTGCAAAGCTTTAAGGCAAAGGGTTCCCAAAAGGAAGTCCTACACTAAGCCAAAGGACGGGAGGAAAGAACCCAGCAAGGTCTCAAAAATGTATCTCTGGGGGCGCCTAGTGGCTCAGTTGTTAAGCGTCTGTCTTCGGCTCAGGTCATGATCCTGGGGTCCTGGGATGGAGCCCCACATCGGGCCCCCTGCTCAACGGGGAACCTGCTTCTCCCTCTGCCTCTCTCTCTCTGTGTCTCTCATGAATAAATAAAATCTTAAAACAAAACAAAACAAAACCAACAACCCAAAAACGGAAGACAGGATCTGGGAGTGAAATGACAAGCCCTGAAACAAGTACTGGAGCACATGCGGGGGCCACAGGACCACCGCCCACAGCCGCTGAGCTGGTGCAAATGCTGGAGGCCCTGGGGGTGGCGCCCAGACAGCTGCAGGGGCGCCGCGAGGAGGCGAGGCAAGTAGCCACAGCACTGCCATCACTGACTCCAGAAGACCACTGGTCTGAGAAAGGAAGCGAGTGCGTGTCACGCAGCGTCCTGGGAAGGACGCGGTCATCGGACAAGCCTGCGAAAACCGTCCTCAGAGCGAGCCTGGCAGGGGCAGGGCACTGGTGTGCGCTGCCATCTCTCACCGCAGGAAGCCAACAGGTAAACCCAAAGCTGGAAAGTGGAGAAATGGCCACAAAAGCATATTCTTCAGAAACTCGAACTTAGGCACGCCTCCTCCACCTTCTCACCTTGGAGAACCAGTGGGGGCGGGAAGAGCAGAGCCGCTGGAGAGGCTGACCCGGACCCCAGACCTGGGCTCTGCCATGACCCTCGCAGATGCTACCATGGGCTGGCAGACAGCAGACACACGGGGACGCCACCAGCCCCTCCTGGACCTTTCGGCAAAGACTTGGTAAGAAGGACGCAATGCCAGAAGCTTTCAGCACAAACCTCCCCGTCACAAACCAGGGTCTGCTCACAGCAATGGAAATTCTTTTCAGAACCCATCCCCAAGAATTGTTTTCAGTCCCAAACCACGACAAGTAATTTCCAAAGATTTAAAAAAATAAAAAAGTACCTTGGAGAATGGTATTTTCCAAACATGTGTTTAAAGAGTTATGATCAGTGATACATTTCAGAAGAACATCTCAGTAAATAACGACGGGTCTCCTACCTTGCCACCTTCCTGCTGGAGAGCCGTTTCGCTGGACTGTGCAAAATCAAAATAAACAGGAAAATCATGTCAGAGAACAGACAGGGAGGAATGGGAGGAAACAGGAAATTCAGGCTGAAGAGATATGGGGTTGGGGGCATGTTCATAGGCATGCAGCGCCTGCCCCCAAGGCCAGCACCATGCACAGAAAGGCCTGCTCAGCAAAGCATTCAGGGACACGGGAGCAATCTCAGGGCCTTGCCAAGGCCTCAGCAAGTCACATTATTCCACTCCCACAGAAATCCCAGACAGAGCCACGACCAGACCTCAGCTCAGAGGTTGAGCTCAGCACTGCACCCACCAGTCGGCTGCACTGGGTCGAGCTGCTGGCAACTGCCATGCCCCAAATGCATACCCTCCAACTGCTTGGCCATCAGAGGCCCCCACAAGAACTGTGACATAGGCCTGTTCTGTGTCATCAGCTTTAACTTAGGCACTGAAACCGCAGGGTCCAAAATCCTGCCCAGGCAGTGACTTAGAGGCCCTTCCTGCGGCCACTTCAGGGCAGTAAATACGGTCGGTTACATATCGTCCAGCTGATTAGAATCGTGTGCACTGGCAAAAAAGGCCAAACTTACCTTGTCTCTCATTTCTCAAGTCCAGAGTTGTTGTTGTTAAGATTTCATTTACTTATTTGAGAGAGACAGATGGAGAGCGTGTGTGAGAGAGCACGGGGGGTGGGGCAGAGGGAGAAGCAGGCTCCCTGTTGGAAGTGCAACGTGGAGCTCGATCCCAGGACCCCCGGATCATGACCTCAGCTGAAGGCAGACGCTTCACCGACTTAGCCCCCAGGCGCCCCCAGTTTTATTTTCAATGTAACTGCTAAGCTATGGGCCTCAGCCCACAAGAAGCTGCCCTCCCTCCAACACCGGGAACCAGCCCCATCCTGTTTCCCTTCAGCGTGCTATCTCAGATACACCTATGATGCCCTCATGGCTCGGGGAGAAAACTCTATCCGAGGAGAAACAGGTGCCGTGTCAGTTACGGATTTACGGCCTCCCACCTCCACACGCATCCTTCCTACTTGTTCTGTGGAAATGGATCCGGGCCCTTTTCCGATTCTTCCTTTGCAGTTTCTACCAGTAGAGGGTGCTGGAGGGCCCCCATGTGTCCATATGTCCTCGTGTGCTCAGCTACATCTGGTCCCTCTCACCCCAGAGCCTGCCTCGTGGCTCCCCGTGTGCCAGTGGCATCCTCCCAGCTCCACGGGCAGTTCTGTCACAGAGCGTCTCTGCTGAGGCCCCTCCCGGTGAGGCTTTCTGGCAGCCAGAGGGCAGACTCCCATCAAGTTCTAGAAGGTAGGTTCCCAACAAGTCCTGCCAGTGTGGTACCGGGAGCGGGGGGCATGTGCTGCCCACTGCCGCAGCCAGGGCCCGGGCAGCAGGTGGGCCCTCAGTGCCAGGCGGGCTGGCTGCCCCTAAAAGCTGCGGTTCCGGCGAGCCTCCGTCACTCTCAGCAGCCAGCGCCTCATCACTCAGTCCCCAGTTACAGTTACTCAGTCTTTATTAAACCCTCCTTGTTCACACTACTGTGTGCCTGCCCCCTCTCCTGGCAGGACCCCAACTGACACCTCAGACTTCATTCTAATAGCACAGGGACTCCGGACACAGCAACCTCGCAGGGATCGCACCGCCAGTCCAGTTTTGAGGTTTATAATTGGAAAACAGACCTTCTTACTTTTGATTTCTTCTTAATATTCTTGTTAATTTCTACATAATGAATTTTTTCAGAGAGGCTCCCAGGTACCTGGAAAACAGGATCACCGTAGGCATGTTCTGAGGTTCACTGGGTAGAAAATATTATTTGACAGGGCGCCTGGGTGGCTCAGTTGGTAAAGTGTCTGCCTTCAGCTCAGGTCACGATCTCAGGGTCCTGGGATCGAGCCCGGCATCGGGCTCCCTGCTCAGCGGGGAGCCTGCTTCTCCCTCTTCGTCTCCCCCCTGCTTGTGCTTGCTCTCTCTCTCTCTCAAATAAATAAAATCTTTAAAAAATATATATATATTTGACATCAAAGCTTCCAGACACAGTTGAGACTGAATCATGTTTTACCATCCATAAGCGGAAACCAAATACATTTATTTTGTGGCAATTCCATGGAAACCAACAAGCAAGATTTAGATCTCCTTAACTTCAGTGTTTGGAAGAAATTTCCCAACAGTTGTATTGTGATTACAATAACGATTTTAATGGCATATGAACCCACCTCAATAGGGTCTTCCTCAGGGAATGGCTGAAACGGGACACAAGGCCCCATGGACTTGCCAGCTACACTTAGCCGCGTCCCAGGCTCCCCTCAAAAGGCCCGGCAGAGGGGGTACCTGGGTGGCTTAGCCAGTTAAGCGGCTGCCTTCGGCTCAGGTTGTGATCCCAGGGTCCTGGGATCGATCCCCACATTGGGCTCCATGCTCAGTGGGAAGCCTGCTTCTCCCCCTCCCTCTGTGATCTCTCTCGCTTTCACTCTCAAATAAATAAATAAAATCTTAAAAAAAAAAAATGACTTAAAAAAAAAAGGCCTGGCAGAGGTGACTATGGCCGTCCTGTGGCAGGTTCTCAGCACAGAAAAGATCACTCCAGAAATGAGAAATGAGATACATGTCTTTGTGCTAACTCTCAAATACAGACATGGCATTCCTGTACTTGAACCCACTTAAGCAGGACAGCAGATCTCCATATGGGAAGCATAGGAGACCCCTCCCCAGCCAGGTGGCAGAAACTTCCCGGAGCACTGAACACCCAGCTAAACACACACTATGTAAAATGAAAGACTGGTTTTCCCTACAATAGACCCAGCAGGTCTCTGAAGTCACTAAATGCCGCATTTCCCCCAAGTCTCCCCGGAAGGCTAGGTTCTTGTCAGTACTACCAGAACCTCCCCACAGACTCCCCTTTGAAGCTGCCAACTGGCCACAAAGAAGCCTCCCCACTCGACTGGGTATTTGCTGGATTCTAGCCTGTGTTGTGGGTGTTGCACAGAACATAAGGAAAGGGGCTGAAGACATTAAACGTGCTGCACTGGAATGAGAGGTAGGTCAGCAGGTACAGCAGGGCTGTCAGCCACAGGGACCCACCAGGAAGACTGAGCTGGCCTTGGCTGCAGGATCCTCAAGACAGGGGAGCAGTTTTTGGAAGACAACTCTTCTAAACACACCAAAGCCATCAGGACGGCTGGCCTTTCTGCCACATTTTATGTAACCTCCCATCTCAGGAAGCCACTCCAGATTGCTACCCAGGAGCCCACAGCACCGATCAGCATCTACCATCCCATCCTGCCCAGCACAAGAGCTCCCTATGGGCCACTCACCAGCTCTGCTGGGCTGGCCACCCAGGGGCTGACCCATACAAGAAGCTAAATCAACAATATGCTCAATGGACATGCCAATATGTACAAGCTACTCAAACCCATTTTCTTTAACTGGAGTGTGACAAGTTGATGGAAGCCAGCAAAAGGGACTCCTTCTGGAACTCTGACCTGAGTAGGGTTGGGTGTGGAGGATGGAGAGGGAGGCAAACACTTACACACAAACCGGACCTGTGAGGTGGGGAAGAGGGGCAGAATGGGGACGGACCAAGGCCAGGGTGCATCAGGCACATGCTCAGTCCTGGATGCCCATTTAAATACAGGGTAGCAAAGTTGGATATTCTGGTAACAGTCTGAGGCAGCCTTACAGAAATGGGTTTGGGGGACACCTGGTGGGCTCAGTCAGTAGAACATGTGACGCTTGATCTTGGGGTTATGAGTTTGAGCCCCATGTTGGATGTAGAGAGGACTTAAAAATAAAAATCTTAAAAAAAAAAAAAAGAAAATAAATAGGTTCTAGGAAAGGCTCACCTGATTTAAACATATACTCCCGAAAGCTGTTTACAAATCTGTTTTTGGGGTTTTTTTGAGAGCCAGAGGGCATGAGCTGTGGGAGGGACAGAGAGAGAGGGAGAGAGAGAATCCCAAGCAGACTCCACAGAGTGTGGAGCCTGACGCGAGGCTCGATCTCAGGATGCTGAGGTCATGACCTGAGCCAAAATCGGAAGTCAGATGCTAAACAAACTAAGACACCCAGGTGCCCCTACAAATCAGTTTTTAATTTTTTAAAGATTTTATTTATTTATTTATTTATTTGAAAGAGAAAGCACGAGAGGGGAGGGTGAGAAGGAGAAGCAGGCTTCCCGTGGAGCAGGGAACCCAATGTGGGACTCGATCCCAGGACCCTGGGATCATGACCCCAGCCGAAGGCAGTCACTTAACCAACTGAGCCACCCAGGCGCCCCTTCAAATCAGTTTTTAAAGACCAAATGTAACTTTAAATTTCACAAAGCCCTTTCGTGTGACTCTCAGTTAAAGAAATCTTTTAGTAAAATGGAGACAGTATCTGTTTCTTTCACACACCGGACTTCCTCATGCAGGACACACAGCGTGTGAAGGTAGTTCCCTCCCGTGGGGTCAGAAGCAGTGGCTCGGACTAAGGCATGCACACACAGCAAGAGGGCAGAGTGCACCAAACACAGGCTCAGCACATGCGAGGGGGAGGGGGGGCAGAGGAAGGGGCCCGGTGCCAGCACACTCGCCTTTCCGCTGCAGTTCGGCCCAACTGAGCCAGTGGCACCCCTGGCCAGACCCACCAGCCGGCGCTGCGGTTAACTAGACTCTCCCTCCCGCTTAACAAAGAGCAAGGCCAGGCACTACTCAGTTACCTATTCTTTTCAAGATCATTCAGGCGAGCAGAAAGATCCTCGAGGCGGTTGATTTGTTTGTGGCACTGGCTACAGTAAAACTCAAAAGCCTCATCAGTGAGGATGCTGTGCAGCTTTGCGGCAAGCGGGTCGGTGCTAGAGAGATGAGAAGTGTCAGTTCAGGAGACAGTGAGGGGCCCTCCAGGTTATCTGTGACTCCGTGGAGGGTCCTGACAGAAGCATGTTGTCGGGTACCAGGCTATGGAAGATTCTGGCTCTTTCCTTTAGACCGCTGGGAGCCCACCTCCCTCAACGTCACCTCTAGGACTGGTGACACGCACCAGCTTGAGCAGCAGAGGACTTGGCCACACACCTGCTCTTCCTGGTCAGGTGCTCAGAGAAACAGATGTGGCCCATGGGCTTCATTGTAAAACAAAACCCCTTCGTTAACAAGTAAATGGCTGGACACACTACTTTCTCCTTTGTCAAAAACACATCAATGTGAGAGCAAAGCACAGGTGGAGTCTCACTTCCTGTACTGTAGCTACTTTAAGAACTGCTCTAAAGCCCACAAGCCTCAAAAACGGTACGTGCGTGAGGAATCACAGATAATTCTGTCATTTTTAAGACCTTCCTTAAAAACTCTGGATTCTATTTGCCTCCCTGTGATCTAATCTCGATGGACTTTCAGGGCACTGGCGGGGCGCCTACTGCGGGAAGAGGAAAGCCACGCCCCTGCGGCAGCATTAGGACCTGCCGGCTTTTGGAAGCCCGTTTGGAGGTTCCATGTAAAGACAGGTTGATGGGAAATGTCAGCGGTAGTGCAGAAGTTACACGTGAGACAGAAAACAGTGAGAAGACCACGTGAGAGGCACAGACTAAGCAGACAAGAAAAATTACCAAGCTGGACAGACACACGTTTAGCAGCGCCCAGTCCTCCGCCTGTGCGTCAACACCACCACGGATGTGCGTGTGGAGAGGAGAGCAGCTAGAAGCACGCACACGCGTCACTCACGCCAACTCCCAGACTTGCCACAGAGGCCCTCTCCCAGGCTGGGGGGTCCTCTGGGCCAGGGCAATAGTCTGGGCAAAGGAAGGGGCTCGCAGATGTGGGTTCAGAGGTACTCGGCTTCAGCAAAGAGAGAGGGTTTCCAGAACTGGCCACAAAGGGGAGAGGCGACAGATGTGGACCAGGTGCTGAGCCAGGCAAGAGCCTCACCTACAGAGGCAGGCACACCCTCAGGTGGGCCAGTCACCAGCCACAGGCCCCTTGTGTGGACACAAGTGAGGCCCCTGTGGAAGGCAAGGGGGGAGGATCAGCTCCATGAGGGAAGGTCTCACCCTTTCAGGCCTAGCACTTCAGCTTAGTCAGCCAGAACTTCCCAATTTGGGGACGTCTGATAATTATAAGGAAAGGAATCCAAAGAATCATTTGCCATGTTAAAGCCTCCCACAGAGGCTGATCAACGGGTACAAACTCACAGCTACGACAGGAATAAGGTCTGAGGATTGAATGTAAAACATGGTAACTACATTGTATTACATAATTGAAATTACTGAGAGTATAACTTACATGTTCTCTCCCTCCCCGTGCTCTCACACACATTTACACACACAAATGGGTACACACGTGTGCACACATGCACACACACACACCCCCGCAGTACAGGGCTGCCTTACCTGGGGGTAGGGAAAGCGGGGTCTCTGCAGCCGTGCTCCCCATTGCAGAGGGTCTCCAGGGACAGCTCTGCCTCACTGCCCTCGCCATAGTCCTCAAAATGCTCCTCGCCACCTATCACCGTGACGACGGACTGGCTGTGCAGGTGGGATCTGCAAAGACAAAACACAAGTGACACACTATGACTTGTGGCCCCAGAACTGTGGGTTTGATGGTACCTTCCAGCAGAATGCGCTACCAGCCATGTGTCTGGAGTTCAAATGTTCCAGCAGCCGTGTTAGAAAGAAGTAAATGAATAGGTTGATTTTAATAATATATTTTAACTTATTCCAACATATCCGAAGTATCATTTCTTATATTCCTTATTTTTTTTTTTAAGATTTTATTTATTTATTTGACAGAGAGAGAGAGAGCAAGCATGAGCATGGGGAGGGGCAGAGGGAGAAATGGACTCCCCATTGAGCGGGGAGCCCAATGCAGGACTCAATCCCAGGACACTGGGATCATGACCTGAGCCGAAGGCAGACACTCAACTGACTGCGCCACCCAGGCGCCCTTATATTATTTATTTTGTAACAAGTCTCTGAAATCTGGGGTTCGTTGTACACTTCCAGCACACCCCAATTTGCTCAGCAGCCTCACACATCATGCACTCAGCCGTGGACACAGGCCCATGTCTCCAGCAAATGTACCCCATGCCTCTTCATACAGCCACTGGCCAGAGTGGGTGCAGATTTTTGCTGTGATGTAAAATTCAGACTAGCAGACTCCAACCAGGCAAAGTAAAGGGATTGCTAGCACCTGTCCTCCTTCTGAGAGGGAGATCACTCCTCCATACCCACCTTCCAGAGCACAAGGTCATGGGGCCAGGCTAGATGCTTGGGCATGCCTGGAGGTGGCAGAGGCTAAGCCAATGCCAGGGGGCCCAGGGCTTCACCAAGGGCAACAGAAAACAGCTGTGATGTCATCAGCTCCTCCACCAGGGCTGGATTAAGCTCTTCACCACTAATCCACACAAGAATCTGAGAGCTGCCCCTTTCAGAAAAGGAAAGGGAGCCTCAGAGAGCCAAGTGGCTGCCCCACAGGCAGAGTCAGGGATGGACCTGGGTCTCTGTGCATGTACCCCACACCAACACGGCTGCTCAACACTCAGACCAAGTTCCAATTTCCCACCCACAAATGCACACACCCACAGAGCAGTCCTGAAGCCACTAAGGACAAATCCCATGGTCCTACACGCACCCACTTTCAGAAACAATAAAGCCTGAGTGAACTGAAATGGGGATGATCTCCGTACTTCTTACCATCCTCTTAAGCATATCCGTAAATATGGTTACACATAAATAATTGAGGGCACCTGAGTGGCTCAGTGGGTTGAGCATCCGACTCGATCTCAGCTCAGGTCTTGATCTCGGAGTCATGAGATCGAGCCCATGTCAGGCTCTGTGCTGAGCGTGGAGCTTGCTTGAGATTCTCTCCCTCTGTCTCTCCCCTCCCCACTCCCTCTCTAAAAAAAAAATTTAAATGAAAATAAACAAATAAATAAATATAAATAAATGGAGTGAAATACTGTGTTCAAAGACTGGAAGACCTGATTTACTGTGAAGATGTTGATTCTCCCCAAATTAAGCTGTATCAATACAACTCTAACCAAAATCCCTGTAGAGTTCTTTGTCCAGAAACCAACAAGCTGTTTCAAAAACCCATAGGGAAAGGCAAAGGGCCAAAGGCACCAACACAGCCTGGTGGACTGACATACAGACAGGACAATCTACAGCACGCTGGAGTACAAGGACTGTGTGGTACTGATCGAGGGCGGACAGACAGACTGCACAGTCCAGACCCAGCCCCACACACTCAGCCACCTCACAGGACCAAGGTGACACCAGACAGCGAAGGAAGGAGCAATCTATTCACAACTGAGGCTGAGTCGACTGGATACTCATTTGGGAAATGACCCCAACCTCACACCCCACACAAAAAATCAGTTATGAAGAGATTACAGATATGAATATAGAGGTGAAAAAATAAAGCTTTTTAAAGAAAACACAAGTAAACATCACAGTCATGTGAAGTAAGCAAAGATTTCTATAACAATACAGAGGGGGCGCCTGGGTGGCTCAGTTAACTGTCTGCCTTCGGCTCGGGTCATGATCTGGGGGGTCCTGGAATCGAGCCCCACATCGGGCTTTCTGCTCTGTGGCGAGCCTGCTTCTCCCTCTCCCACACCCCCTGCTTGTGTTCCCTCTCTCGCTGTGTCTCTCTCTGTCAAATAAATAAATAAAATCTTTAAAAAAAAAGGAAAGAAAAGAAAACGACAGCCCAACAGATCAGGAGATGCCAAATCACACCCATGGCCTGTTTCTGTAAGGTCGGATTGGGATATAGCCATGAACCGTAACCACACTGCACTTCACCAGCAAAGCCTGAGTAGTAGCCACTGAGACCATATGGCCTGCAAGCCAAAAAATACTTATTATCTGGTCTTTTGCAGAAAAAGTCTGTAGACCCCTGCAATAAACAAATGGGTAAAAGACTTGAACAGGCACTTCACAAAAAAGATCTCCGAACGGGTAATAAATGCAAGAAAAGGTGCTCATCTGGGAAATGCAAGGAAGAACTATCCCACACCAACACTGCCGAAGCCCACAGGCGGCAGGCAGGCAAGCACCTGCGAGAAGCTCGGTCTGCACCCAACCCACAGCCCAACAAGCGTACTGCAGGCGCAGCCCTGTCCCACCCCTAGGGACAATCAGGCCAGCAAGACACGTGGTGTTTGCAGCAGCTTTGTTCATAAAGCCAAAGCTGTCAGCGACCCAGATGGCCACCAGCGATGAATTAAAAAGCTACAGCACACTCATACAACAGGGTAAAACAAACGATGGACAACTATGCACAAAAATTCGGATGAACCTCAACAGCCACAACATTAAGCGAAAGCAGCCGGGTGTACAAAGGCCACAATACCGCGTGGTCGCTCTGGCTGAGGCACAAGTCGTCGTTACAGGCCAGGGCGCCGGCGAGGCTGCGGCTGGCCGCACTCACATACCACTACCCGATGCTTCAGTTAAAGGGGAAGAAACAAAACTCTGCAAGGGCCAAACAAGCAATGAAATCAAATAAAACAAGCGACATGAAATAAAACCAAACCACTTCCGAGGCTGCGAAGCACGATGGCTTCCCACACAGCACTGGGCAAAGTGCAAGCTCGCATTCCGGGTCTGCACCTGTCAGACCTTCCCCCTCCCTCCACTGGTCTTCAAACACACGGGGACACCTGGAGCAGGGGCAGGGGGCACAGGAACAGAAGATCTGGGTAGGGGTGTGGTAAACACAAACAGGTTCTAAGATCCTGCTGGGAGATGGGGCCTGAATATGGTGTCCTGCCCTTCCTGCCCTGGTTTCTAAGAACTTCAGTGAGAAACCAGGATCAAGTTTCTCTCTACAGCCAAGGAAGTTGTGCTGCGTGTACAATCAGGGCTATTTGTTGCCAGCAGGAGGAGCACCTCCTCACAAGGCGGTCTGCTGTGGCTGATGGACGGCTCAGGACAGCAGGCGTGGGCTCACAGCAGGACTCCAGGCCACGCTGGAGGGTCCACATTCTCCCCAGGTCCCGCAAGGATTCCACACCACTCTCGGACACCAACCCCTCCACAAACCCAATCTGCTCACAGGACACACCACTCAGTGTCTTAGGAACAATACCCAGGGTACAGACCTGCCCGGGAGGAGCAGCAGAGCGGCCTGGCCGGGATCCTCCATGGCGTCCAGGCACTCGGAGGGCACAGCTGAGCCACCGGCGCTGTCCGCATCCCCTTCGGTCTGCAGCTCAGGGTGCACCAGGGTGCTTGTGTCCTCGTCGGTGAAGGTCTCACACTCACTGTAGGTGCTCTCAGACCCCATGTATGCGCTGTCTGTCACCTCGTTGGCCTAGGAGAGAGTGCCAGGGGTCAGTCCCATACCCTAAAATGACCACGTGTCCGTAAACCCCGATGCCCCACACAGTGCCCTACTGCAGGCATTGAAGAGACCACGCGGAGAGACAGCCTCAGGCAGGGCCCCAACCGCACCTCTAAGCAGAAACATTAGCTTAACAAGACAATCCAATATCTTTAAAAATTGAAACACAGACACATGTTCCAAAGCAGAAAAACTACTAGACAATTCTGAAAGTAAGTTACGTGAGTGTACCTAAAACAGAGAAGGCATCCCAGCACCAGAGGATAAATCCCAGTGTGGCCACCCATGTTGTGGCTACCGGCATGGGAATTACTTCTATCCAAAGAATAGTATAAGAACATGCTAATTAAAAAGTCACCATCAATATCCATTATGTATGTTCAGGCTACTGCTTTGAAGTTCAATTACGTGGTCTAACCTCAAAATACTAACTCATCGATTATTAACCAATCCATTACATTCACTGGTTAAAGGTCTACTTTCCACAAAACCTATCTTTGTTTTCACTTTTCTGGACCCAGTGCCCAGCACATGGCCGAGCATGCAGCACAGTGCAAATGACGTAAACCTAAAGATTCATTCAACAGGCCATTTTCAATTTATCATCTCAGCTTTAATTACATATGCAATTGCATAGATTAGGGTAAGTAGCCAACATTTCATGCTCAAAAGAATCTGAGGTTAACAACTTGAGATATTCAAGTAATATTCCAGAAAAGTAGCTGGAAAAGGTGCACTCTGTCCTGTCATTCTGATGTCACCAGAGCACAGTGTGCTCAGAAGTGCTATGGTAACAAAAAGTCACCGGTCCTCCACTAACTCTGAGGGGCTCTCATGGCCACACCCCCACGGCGCCTCACACCATCGAAGACGCATGAAGGGCCCAGGCCAAGCTGGCAGGATCCTAGTGCGCCAATGACAGGCCAGGGTCCATCCTCCACCCACCATCCACCAGCCCAGTGACCCCACACTGGGGTCCCAACCACTCCAAACCCTGTCGCCTCATCTGCAAAACTGAGATTAAGAGACCACACAGGCAGGTATGGAAAGGAGCCTGGAAGACTGGGGTCACAGTCCCAGCTGCGTGTGCAGCCCGAATAAAGTGGAAGGGCAGAAGACGTAGCGTATTACCTATGCTTCCAAGGGAAAAACCCATCTTCCTTGGAATCTCAGGCAACTGAGGAACCCCTAAAAAACCCTCCCTTCAAAATCTGAAGCCAGGAAATCACTTTCAGAGGCTCATCATCACTTAGCAGGTATCACTTCCTGCCGGGCTCAGGGCTGGCCCTGTGCTTGAGCTGTGGGCAGCATAGGCAGAGACGGACGTGACGTAGGCAGGCACCCGAATGTCAGGGGCTGGGCCCGCGGAGGAAGCACACCAGAGCAGGCACAAAATCCACAGCCGGTTCCAGATGTCTGCTGAGGGGTGGCTGCAGGTCTGCTGCCCAGATGGCCCTGCACGCTCACACAGCTGTGCTGCCCGAGAGTCACCCAAGGACAGGAGGAAGACTGGGCCACCCTGCCGCTCCCTGTCTGCAAGAAAGTCCCATGCAGCCCTCCCTTCCTCAACTGCTCAGTCCTCAGACCCAGGAAGCAGGCAAGTCCCATACACCCCAAACCTCACCTAGCAGGCCCATTGAGGGCCCCGAACACATTGAGTGGGGACCCTGATGATTTCCTATAGGGAACAGAACTGAACTCTTGAGGTCAGCTTTTTAAAAAGCCAACCAACTAAAACACCTCTGAAATAGCACAATGCTCCCCCCTGGCCAGCAGGGACCCCAAGCCCTCAACAGGCAACTTAGTGTGTGCAAGGGTAGGCCAACTCAGCACGGAGCTGTGCATTTTTTCCCAGGAAGGGAAGGAGGTCCAGGCACTTGGGCCTGCTTATTTCACCTGCAAGGAGCTCACAAGACTCGTGCAGCTGAGGCCAGGGCTGCAGTCCAAACCCTCCTTGGAGCTTGGACAGGACAGCTCAGGGTGAAAGTCACCCTCCACTGACACAGAAACCGTGAGACAGATGCCGCACAACACCAACTGCCGCAGGTCGGGCACACACACTCCGTTCTAGGCAACTCCCGCACCTTCATCTCCTCACTCCTCCCACACGGAAGGAGAGTCACACACACACGAGCACTGCTTCCCACGCCACTAAAGGCTTCAAGGTCACACTTGCACCTTATTTGCCTCAAATTATAAAGAAACAGTACACTGGAGGTCCCGTCCCCACATCACTACTCCGACCACTCAGACACCTGGTGGGGGTGCTGAGCAGTCAGCAGCCTGAGGGGGTCAGGAGCTGCTCGCCCCCAGGATCTGCCTTGAATAAGTGTCAGGAAGCCAGGTAGTTTTCCAGAGCAGTTGGCTAAACATCTGCCTTCCACGAGAGGCAAAGATCACCGCAAAGCACCTCCCCCGTAGCCTACACAAGACACAGGACCAGCTCACATACCCGGCCCATCGGCTTCTATTTGCCACCACACAGGACCCAACTTTGCCCAGAAGCCCACAACTCTATGCTATTGTCTTTTAAAATACTTACAAGTTGCAGATGTTAAGATGAACTCATTGGAAAATCAAAGTGCATCTGGAAAACTCTGCCACGTGTTACTATTACCTTCACCGGTTAACAAAGGACCTGCTGATGGACACGGACGCCGGTGTGGCCAACGCTGCCCATATCCTCACTGCCCAGGTCATGGTCCTCTGAGGGACACCAACTGCTCCCCTCACCCTTGGGCGCCAGCCCGGACAGCCTCAACGGGCCTCGCCCGGCTCCATGCACCGACTCTTGGAGATGCCCTCCCCACAGTATCGCAAACACTGGGGACTGCTGTCCAGACCAGGCGTAGCTTCTTGCAACTAACCTCGCGGCCTTCCTATTTGCTAGTTTGCTGAGGTTTCAGCAAAACCTGTGTGCTCACCTGAAGGTACATCACAGCCTTGGAAAAAGTTTAACCTGCTCCCAGACATGCTCCATTAATCCTCCTGCTATGCTGACCAGGGAAGGGGGGCAAAGTTCAGGAAATGTCCTTGTTGGGTTTTTAACAGACCGCAAAACAGTGGCTTTTTTTCTTGATTTTCAAACTTCTGTTGTAACAGTTTGCACAAAAGACAGAGTCTCCATCATTTTATTAAGGCAGCTCTGTCCTCTAGAGGCCTCGGTGGGAGAAGGAGGGAGGAAAAGAGGAGGCACAGCGGGACAATTCTTATCATTCCTGTTTGTGTCTGTTCTCTGTGACCCTCCCATTGCCCTTCCAGAAACCCTGACAGATGAGCTCACCCCTGCATGCTGCAGGGGACTTGGGCACTCCACCCTCCCCCTCTGCATTCCGGTGAATGTGACAAATCTTACTTAGTCCTCACCCCGTCCCCCTCTTCTCAGAAACGCCACATCAATAACTCTCCTAGAAGGTGTCTCAAGCAAGGAGCCAACAGGAAGCAGAGGAGGACCCAGGAGCAGCCCAGCAGTGAAGTGCCCCACACTGTTGTGTGTCCGGCCAGGAAGTCAGCACAAGGCTTATTTATCGCTGAAGATCGCCAGCAGAGGGTCTCGCATTCTGGGTGTAATGCACATATTCTCCACCCATATTTTTACTGAACTTTAAGATTATAAGATGTGCAAGATTTTTTAAAAGAACATCTTTCTGTAAGTTTCACAGTACCTGGTTCCAATCCCCTGAAAGTTACATCTGAAGATCATAAAAAGCATAAAAAGACATGGAAGAGCCTTAAATGCACATTACTAAGCAACAGAAGCCCGTCAGCAAAAGCCACACATTGGATTCCAACTCTGTGACATTCTGGAAAAGGCAAAACTATGCAGATAGCAGAAGATCAGCTGCTGCCAGGTGCTAGTGGGGAAAGTGGGATGAATCCAGGGAGCAGAGGGTGTTGAAGGCAGCAAAACTCCTCTGCATGATACTACATGGTGAACACATGACCTTGTACATTTGTTAAAACCCACAGAATGCATGGGGCGCCTGGGTGGCTCAGTTGGTGAAGCGTCTGCCTTTGGCTCAGATCATGATCCCAGGGTTCCGGGATCAAGTCCCACATCGGGCTCCCTGCTCAGCGGGGAGTCTGCTTCTCTCTCTCCCTCTGCCTCTCTCCACCCCACCCCACCCCACTCGTGGTCTCTCTCTCTCAAATAAATAAATAAAATCTTTTAAAAAAAATTCTAATAAAAAAAACCCCCCACAGAAAGCATTAACACCAAGAGAGATCCCTAATGTAAACTATGGACTTTTGTTAACAACAATACATCAATACTGGATCATCAAGTATAACAAAATGTACCACACTAATTAATGCAAGACGTTCATGATGGAGAAAACTGTGACTATGTGTGTCAGGGGGACGGGGGGGGGGGGGGGGGGGGGGGAAGAATGGGAACTCTCTGTACTATCTGCTCCATTTTCAGAAAAGCTAAAACTGCTCAAATATAAAGTATTAATTATTTTTCAAAAGCAACAACAAAAAACGTAAAAAGAAATGTTTCCTCCTTTCTGAAAAAAAAAAAAAAATCAGAAGCATCCCTCTTGCATTCTTTGAAACATCGGTTCCCACCGTGCCTTCTGAAGGTTGGGAGCCGGAACCCCCAAGGGCACACAGAGGCGGCAGGACCAGCGCAGACGACAGGAGGGGGCCAGAGTCAGACAGGACCCCCTGCCCATTCTGCCCAGGGTTCAGGAGGCAGCCCCAGCCTCAGAGGCTCCCACACTTTTGGGCCAAACGAGCTGTTTAAGTACAAAATGTGTTGATGCCTTTCACTACCCTGAGTAACAAACTCCCCGTCTTAGTGTCCTAGGCTGCCACACTACCACAAACTGCGTGGCCGAAACAACAGAAACGGATTCTCTTGGTTCTGGACGTGTCAGCAAGGCTGAACTCTTCCTAAGGCTCCAGGGGAGGCTCCTGGTGGCCCCGGGGCAGCCCCGGGCACATGGGTCCATCCCTCCAACCTCCGCGGCTCTGTCCCGGGGCCCCTGTGTGTCTCCTCCTCCTAAGGACACCTGTCATTGGATTCAGGGCCCAGCCTACTACCCAGCAGGATCTCATCTCAAAACCTTCAACTTAATTACATCTGCAAACACTCTTTCTCCAAATAAGGTCACGTTCACAGGTTCCAAGTGATCATATCTTTCGGGAGACTACCATTCAACCCACTATACCCACCTCCACATAAAGTGTGAGAAATTGATATGTGTGAAACCTGAGCAAGGGACAGAGTGGAAGATGCTAATGCAGATGCTCAGGTCTGGCTCTGCTGGAAGGTGATATAAAGGTCTGAGGCTCACTGCACAAGTGTCTGCATAAGTGTCGCGACCCCCCAGATGCTTCAAACAAGGAAAGAAGGACTCCCCTGATCTAAGGTGCATTCCTGGAAAATCCGAGGTGTGTCAAAGTACACCTTGTGCAAAGGGAGCCGGCCCTGCTCCGGTGAGGTAAGCAGCCTCTCTCCATCACAGGGTCTGGCAGTTCATCTGACAGGTGACACAACAGAGTGCTGCACGCCTGCAGCCCCTCACCCGGCCACACGGGCCTGCAGCCAGCACGTGCCCCAGTTGGCACCTGGCCTCCAATGCCCGGAGAGGCCCCAGCACCCCCAGGTCACATACACACAGAACGAACACACCAATCCTGCTAAACAGGATGCAAGGCAGGGTGGTCCCTGACCTTGGGGGGCTCAGACCTGGCTGGTACTTCAAGACAAAGCCGTGAGTGCTGAATGTTCCCCAGTGGCCCAGAGGCCTATGCTATCAGAAGTGACAGTAAGAAAGTGAACCCACGTTATCTGAGGGCTGACCAATGCCTGAAGCAGCCCCTCGGAGCCGGGACACAAGACCCCAGAGGAAAGTAGTGAACTCCTGTGGACTGTAAGAAGCTGCCTCGTGCAACCACCATTTTACCAAGGCGCCAAGGCTCGGCCACCGCATCACAGCCCAGCACTGTTCCCTGCACCCCTTGCTGGGCAACAGCTCTTCAGGTGCTCTGGAGTTTCTGATGTATATTTTTAATAAGCAAATTTCCACGTCCAGCCACCTGGGCTACCCGGCATCTGCCTACCCCTCCACTGGTGGGACACAATTGTGCGGTCTGTCTTGTGACTGTGCTCACAGACCTCCCCCCTGCCATGCAGAGAACAAAACACCCACAATTATAGGTGACACCAGGTAACCACAGCAACCGTGGGGGCAGGTGGCAAAGGAGCATGAGGTGTTAGAAGTCCCTAAACCCAGAAAATGATCTGCAATTTGGTAAAGCGAGAACTTCACAGCACATCCCCCACTCTGGCTTCACTTGGCAACCTGGCAGCTGACAGCAACACCACTGGAGAGCCCTAGCAGCCCAGCCCGTCCCTCTGCTGACAAGAGGCCCCAAGGGGCCGTGCCATGGCCTCCAGTGAGCAGCAGCAGAGCACACAGCTGCTGACCCCCTGCCACAGCCATGAGCCCCCCAGAGCTCCCAGCCGAGTGCGCAGGCCTGCAGGGTGGGCCCTGCCCTGCCCTCCACGGCACTTCCTGTACCACTAGCCCGGGCACCACTACGCGCAGCAGGACTCAGAAGGCATAAAGGAAGATGTGTCACGTCAAACTCCCTCTCAGCCCCTCAGTGAGAACCACTTGCCTCAAAGGTAACGAAGTCGTCGAATTCATCGGGGCAGGCAGGTGGCTCCTCGTCCTGGGCAGGTGCGACCCCGCACAGCTGGCCATCGGACTCTGCAGGAGAGAAGACCCGTGCTCAGCAGGGAACCCAGAGCATCCCCAGAGGCCAAGGGACAAGGCGCCACAGTGGTAAATGCGAGCAGGGCCTCCAGACAGCCCAGGAAAAGCCCGGGGGAGAAAGCAGCATGGCTCAGACAGGAAAGCAGGTCCCCCCTCCAGAGGTGGCATGGAGTCCGAATGATAAAATGTTTGTTTCTTTAAAAACCCTGAGAGCGTTGGAGCGCCTGGGGGACGCAGATGGTTAAGTGTCTGACTCTTGGTTTCGGCTCAGGTCATGATCCCAGGGTCCTGGGATCAAGTCCCACATCAGGCTCCCTGCTCAGCGGGGAGTCTGCTGGAGATTCTCTTCTCCCTTTACCCCTCCCCACTCCAACTCTCTCTCTCTCTCTAAAATAATAAAACCATTTAATTAATTAAACCCCCAACAGCATTGTAAAGAGAAGGAGCAAGATCTCAAGCCTGTTACACTGTTTATGGGCTTTAAAAAGTATTAGGTACCAGACTTAAATTTTTTAAAACTTTGGGTATGTTTGGGGAGGTGTAGGTACGATGAAACAAACCAAAACAGCACCTCATCCTGGGTGCGGGGCTCACTGGCAGTTTTTATTTCCTTTGTTTTTGCTTAACTCCATCTTCTGCAATAAATGTTTTATTTCATAATAAGGAAAATTTTAAAGGAAAAGCTATCCCTTCACAACGGGCAGACCGTAAGCAGATGTCAGCAAGGGAGACGTCACTTCTCCAACACACTCAGTTCTCAACAGCACCGGGCCCTTCTCCTGCAGGAGGCGCTGCTTCCGCGGTCTCCTGAGCGCTGTTCGGGCGCAGGATGTTTCAGGGAGCAAGTGAGCGATAGAAGACGCCTGTGTTTCCTTAAGTTGTGTCACTGTGATACCGCCACATAAGAAGAAACGTTTATGTGCTCCTCGTCCCAGCTCCTGGGAATTTCCTGAGTGTCGATACTGAGAGGAGCATCTGCTGTGGTTCGTAACAAGCCCCTTTCAGCCTCACCTGGATTCACACCACGCAAGTGACTCTTGGAGCTCCGGGGTTGGTGGCCAGGGTACCTGACGTGTGATTAGAAGGCTGGAGACCAAGCCCATCACCAACGACCAATGGATCCTCCCAAAAAAACCCAAAATGAAGGGGTTCCGAGAGCTTCCAGGTAGTGAACACATCAACATGCCAGGAAGGTGGTGCATCCCAAACTCCATGGGGATGGAAGCCCCTGCATTCCAGACACTTCCAGACCTCACCCTATATACCTCTTCATCTGGCTGTTCATTTGTAACCTTTTAAATAAACTGCTAATGCTAAGTAAAGTGTCTCCCTGGGTTCTATGAGCCATTAGAGCAAATTATCAAACCCGAGAAGGGGTACTGGAGACCCTGGGTTCACTGCCAGGTCAGACAGAAGTATGGGTGGCCTAGGCACCTGAAGTGGAGTCTTCGGACAGCTGGTGTCGGAGCAAATTAAATTGTAGGACACCCAGCTGGTGTCCCAAGAGCTGGAGAACCACTTGGTGATGAAAGCCCACACACTGGGTATCAGTGTTGTGAGCAGAAAACAGATCATAGGAATTACTTATTTAAAATACATCACTTACTCAATATATGTCACATAATCTAACATAACATCAGTCCCTTATTTTACTTTTTTTAAAGTAAGCTCCACACCCAGTGTGGGACTCAAACTCATGACCCCAAGATCAAGAGTCACATGCTCCTGACTGAGCCAGCAGAGGACGTTCTTCTTGTCCTCCAGCCAGGTTCTGAAGCCACCACGAGAGCCGGGAGAATGGGTCCTGAAGGACCTTCACCACAAAGCAGCGGCAGGACACATGGCTATTCCGTCCTTTTTTTTTTTTTTTTTAAAGATTTTATTTATTTATTTGAGAGAGAGAGAATGAGAGAGAGAGAGCACGAGAGGGAAGAGGGTCAGAGGGAGAAGCAGACTCCCTGCCAAGCAGGGAGCCCGATGTGGGACTCGATCCCGGGACTCCAGGATCATGACCTGAGCCGAAGGCAGTCGCTTAACCAACTGAGCCACCCAGGCGCCCTATTCCGTCCTGTTTCTAAAGGACTCTCTCAACTTAAACAGAATCATAATGCTTTCTTTCGGCAACTGTGTGAATTCAAATATCTATGTATTCAGCAACTGTGAGATGCCTATGCCAACTCAAAACTACTTTGCAGTAGTGATTAAAGCTCTTAAGCCAAAAACCCCTGTGTGGCTTTTAAGAACCATAGGTACTTGAGGCGCCTGGATGGCTCAGTCGGTTGAGCGTCTGCCTTCAGCTCAGGTCATGATCTCAGGGTCCTGGGATGGAGCCCCACAGCGGGAGCCCCGCTCAGTGGGGAACCTGCTTCTCCCTCTCTCTCTGCTCCTCCCCCTGCTTGTGCTCACTCTCGCTCTCAAATAAAATCTTTAAAAAAAAAAAAAAAAGAACCATAGGTACTTGTGTTGTTTCATATTGTTTTCCCCAGGAGTGTGGCTAAATATCCGAATGGGACAGACTGTAGCAGGTGAGAAGGAGCCTGCAAGCACGCAGGTGGACCCAGCATGTGCTGGAATCCCTGTGCTGGAGGTCTGGGTCTCTGGTGCAGGTGAGGGGGCCAGGGTTGCTGTGGACTCACGTTTTTGGTTTCTGGGGCAAGGGTGTGGCAGGGGACCGATTACCCCAGTACAGTTAGAGATTGCATGTTTATTTTGTAAAAAGCTAGACTGTCTTTGGCCTATTTTCCCCTCTCAGATGGTAACATGTTGTCTTCCTCCCCTTCAAAAACCTGAAACACAGAATTCAAAGGTCTCAAAACGCAGCCGACCATTTTAGATGTGGCGGACATGTGCTCAGCCACAAGGGGTGGACAATGGTCAAGAGGGTCTTGTCCCACATCGTGGACAGGGGGATGTGAACATAGCTGGTGCTTTCACATTCCTGACGGGCACAAAATACGATTCTCCTGTCAGTTTTCTATGAACTAAAATAATTTTCAGGGAAGTGGACATTTTTAATGTGCATTTACCTTATTCTTCCAGAGTGTGGGGGTGGGCCAGCACGATGGCCTATTTGTAGCAATCCTCCCCCCACCCCAACTCATTCTATTCCTGAAATAAGGCCTGTGGTGTGACAGTGAAAATCTCTCTGCACTTTGCTGCCAACTGGGTCAACACACCAAGTCCCTTGCTGGGTCATTCCTGGGTGCAGAATAAGCCCGCCAGCCAAAGCAGGCTGCCCGCACGCCGGAGGAGCACCCGAAGTGGGCGCTGGTGGGAAGCTGCTGGCTCTGGCAACCATGCTCCACCCTCCCAAATGCTAACAAACAACAATTTCAAAATCAGCTTTGACTTGCTTTTATTATAGTTTTTTTTTTATACTCTATTTATTTATTTGAGAGAAAAAATGAGATAGAGAGAGCATGAGAGGGGGGAGGGTCCGAGGGAGAAGCAGACTCCCCACTGAGCAGGGAGCCCGATGCAGGACTCGATCCCGGGACTCCAGGATCATGACCTGAGCCAAAGGCAGTCGCTTAACCAACTGAGCCACCCAGGCACCCTACAGTTTTATTTTCACTCTCCTTTCCTAACCAAAGTTAAATAATGAGACCAAACTACAGAAAAAAGAAAAACAAAGCCTGAATCCCTGAGCCCACCTGGTAGGACGTCCGATGCACACAGGTGGGGTGTCCCCACCAGCATGGCCTCCCCCAAGCCCACATGGGCAACAGCTATGTGGAGGCCCAGCCCCTCACGCCCAGCCCACTCCAGGACATGGTCCTGGTAAGTTGGCACTGAGCCAAGGGGCCACTCACCACCCACCCTGCGGAGACATCCATGCCTTCCCTCATTGCCCATAGCCTGGCCGTACCCCTAATACCCTCACTTCTGCCTTCTAACCCCAGATGCCCAACCTGGACACAGTGGCCTCCCTGCAGCCCCCAGACATGCCAGGGTGCCACACCCACGCGCCCCCCCACCCCTGCTCACCCTCCTCCCAAGCTCCTGTCCCCTCCTGTAGCGGCCCTGCCTCATTGTCTGTGGGCTGTCCTGAGGGCAGGGGATGCGCTGTGTCCCTGGAGTCTGGAGCAGTCTGGCTGCACAGTGTCTGGGCCCACAGTCCTCATGGGTCTCAGCTGTGCCCTCGGATGCGACCCTCATCCAGTCTGCCTGCTTCAAGCTCTCATCACAGCAGCCACCCTCAGCCCAGACACTGGACAGAGCCCCTGGTCACGCAGCCCAGCAGCAGACTGTCCCTCAGGGTCCAGGGCCTCCCACCTCACTTGAGGAGCAGGAGTCTGCCCCACACAGGCTAAATTCCAGGGAGGGGGGACAACACCTGCAATGTGGCATCACATTGACACCAAACCTCACCCTCCAGGGACACTTCTATTCCAGAATGTTCTCGCCACAGAAAAAACACAATACTTCCATCTTATTTTTCTGTCCAGAAAATAGATGAATGAGAGAACAAAATGCTAAAATAACAACAATCCCAGAGAAATATACACTAAACAAATAAGAGACCAGAAACCAAAAAAAAAAGAAAGAAAGAAAGAGAGAGATTGAGAATATAATCAGACAGGTGAGCAGAACAGAGCAATACACTAGATCCTGGGTGTATTTTGGTCTGTTTGTTAGAAGAAACTAGATCCCAAAATTGTAAAGAAAAAAAACTTCATATATGTACATAATTAGATACAATGAAAAGATAAAATATAACTGTAAAAATGAAAATTAAAAAAGAGTTGATAAAATAAATTAGTTGAAGAGGGAAAAAATTAAAATGGAAAGATTAAAGAACCATGAAGAAAACCCCAAGTTCTCTATACTATTTTCCCCAGCCCTGGAGTTGTGCAATTCTTTGTGTTCTCTGGAAGTTCCTGCTGTTCTTCGGGGGGGGGGGGGGGGGGGGCTGTTCTTCGGGGGGGGGGGGGCGGCCTGCCGCACTGACGCTCGGCTCAGGTGTCTTCGCGGAACAGCATTGCCCTTGCCAG